CTTTCTTTCTTTCTTTCTTTCTTTCTTTCTTTCTTTCTTTCTTTCTTTCTTTCTTTCTTTCTTTCTTTCTACAATTTGTTGCATAGGCCATCTAAACTAAGACTATCACTTTGGATGCCTTTCTGATGTGCGATGATCTGAAATGCATTTTCGACCTGATGCTCACGCAGTAAAAGTGCTCTACAGATGACCTTCTCTCCACCCAGCCTCCTCGCTATTAAATGTTAATGACTCACGAATCAATAAGCACAGATTTATACGTCGCTCTTTCAATGGAAGCAATCTCTCTGCCCATTATTGAAGGCGCCGACTCCAGAAATGTTCAAGCTCAATTGTTGGTGTTCCAATTTCCCTCCCAGTCTGCTATTTTGACCAATGAAAGTAAGCATCTATTGGAAACAGTCTTTAAAAAAAAGACAGGGAACTCTAATGGGAAATATTACAGTTTAACTACAGCAAAAGGAGACATTTGGGAGGAAAAGTACTTGTGGATTGGATGCTTTTCTTTCTATTTCAGAGAAGCGAGGCAGTCCCTTGGGGACAAGGACACACTCACATTTATATGCTTTATACACTCTATGGAAAAACGTTAAAGAATATGCACTTTTCTGGAGAATCGGCACCAGTCTCCCGGGAGATATTTTGCTTCTATCTTTCTGCATTTAGTCTTTCCTCGCAGGGGGAAACACAGCAAACCCTTCTGTCAAAACAGGTAACTCAAAAGAAGAAAATCATAATCTTGATACCCTCCTAGTTTAGTTTAGAGAATTTAATCCTTTATTTGGCAACCAACCTATTGGTAAATGGACTACTTTTTTAAAAAATGCAAATGCAGCATCAGTAAAATGACAGTCCGTACGTTTGTACACATATTAACGTACAGAAAGACACTGCCTGCTCTGCTTCTCTGCAGTGCACTTCAGTTGCCAAACCGATGCTATTTTCACAGTGTTTTCAATGGGAGGATACTGCGTCCTTTCCCACCCACTTCTGAATCTGCTTTAATACCTTGGCTCATCCTCTATCCTTCATCCCTTCTTTTTTCCTCCTCTGTGCTCCCATGAAACAAAGAGGGAATGTAGGACAAAGTCTCTGCAGGCTGCTCTCAAAGGGATGCCCTTGTTCCTGCTCCACTTCTGTTTCTATTTCTCTCCTCTCTCGGTCCCACTGTGCCACACATGCAGACTTGTGTGTGTGTGTGTGTGGATGTGTGTGTGTGTGTACACTCTTGCACAGTCACGTTAACTTGCAGAATAACCCGTGTGTACTTGTGTCTCCATAGAGGCACGGTATGCAGCATCTCACACCTGTAACTCTATCATTAGAGAGCGATCAATGACATCACTGAAAACAGAAACAGTGCTGAATGACTAATTAATGGGGTAAGGTGAGAAATATGGCAAAGGAGTGAGACGTGCTTGGTAGACTTTAGGGCAATGAAGGGCAGCCAGTAAAAAGGACGTCTCCTTCTTTGGGTGTTGACAGTGCTTGGATGCTGTGCCCAGACTGTCTCAGTGTCTGCATAGATCAGAGAAGTCTTAATAACTTCAGATGCCAAAGTCACAGATGAAAAGCGTTTATGAAGCTTCTCAGTGCTGCTTTTTGCCTCAGATTAAGACTTTTCATAAGCAGTTATTTTTTGTTTAATTAGTTTGTGGTTGTCCTTGCTCCGGCAGTTTTTGAAGTGTTTTGTTATGCTTTGTGGTTTGTATTTGTTTTGAGCTATTTTCATTTACAGAACGCTTCCGACCAAAATAAATGACTTGTTTGAAGCACCTGCAGTAGGACGTAAGCTGCTTGCATTCCCATGAAAAAGGAGTCGTCTATTTTTAGCCTCCCTGGAGGGCTTTTATTCGTCCATTGCCCTTGTAGGCAGTGATGTGTTTCTTAGTTTAGAAATGGTGTCTTAACCTAAATCAGTCATTTAAGGACAAACATGGTCTTCACAGAAACCCTTTTTGCTGTTTTTTTTCAAAAGCAAACACAAAACAAAACAAAAAATGGCACAAAAGATGTCCCAAAATGATGTCACTACATTCATAAATTCCTTTTTTATTCCATTTTATTTATTTATTTATTTTTGCATATGCTTACTTAGTGAAAAATGCACAGGAGCTTATTGGAGCAGAGCAACATTAGGAATGACTCACATTTAGTGTGTGTTGCACCATGATTGTGAGCGTTAGTCAAGTGGGCAGCCG